AATGAAGTCACTTCAAAGCAGGGTTTTGGCATGCATTTTCTTAGAATTTCTTGAATCTGGTTCTTTCCAAAATATTTTACCTAAACAATCAACATATTTCTGATATATTGATGACACTCTATTAATATATCCTTACAAAACTATTTTACCTGATCTCGTAGATAAACTAAGTTGAATATATGATAGAATTTACTCATGATATAGAAGCAAACAATACTTTACCTTTCCTAGATATTATGTTACACTGCAGTGATAATGTGCAGATCTATTATGCCTGAACATACATACATACATACATACATACAAAAATACAGATTGCATACAACGCCAAGCATTCATTGGTTAATTAATCACCACTATGTTATTATAAACAATTTACAAATCACAGCAATGTGACAATTTTGTAATCGCTCTATTTTTATGCAGTCAGTTTTGTGCACTTTTAGGAGAAACAGATCACAGAAGCTTTCTTAAGTCTCCCCAACGCTCGCTTGCTGATTGGTCTATGTCAACCAATCAGATCGTCTGCACATGAAGAATAATTCTTCCCGTGCAACAATCCGGAGCCTATAGTGTCTTATTTAAGCAAGAATTTTCTAACCCTTTTTCGTGAGAATTCAGCTGCCAAATGAATCCATGACAGTTGAAACTATGTGCCAACATTCTCACTCATACACACCACTCACATGCTGAACATACCTTGTATACACTCACATAATTTTTTCTAACACAGCAAATCTTTTGAGAACAGTCATTATAAGAGACTCTCATGAACATTATTCCAGTGAACTTTGAAATACTAAAATAACAGTTAAAGAGAGACAACTGTTGCTTATTTCAACCTTTTCTTACTTAGATGCATGCTTTCTTTTACATCGTTGTTTGATATTGTACATCTTGTTAAATACATATTTTATGTGTAACAATGTCTTTTGCTTATCCTTTTCTATGTCAGCCCTGTTTCCTAATCTAAAGTTAAATTAATGTGGTGAAGTCTGCCACAATATTATTCTAAAACTAAGTATCCATTGCAAATGAACTAATAAAAATGATCTCATAAATTTCTATTTTCTATTTTACAAGCCTTTTGTTTCACTAAACATGAAACAAAAAGTTTGTAAAATATTTAAAAATAAAAGAATGAAACTTCCAGACAAACCCAATGAATTTAAATATATTATTCTACCTATGAACTCTATCACAACTATAATTGAAAAAAAATTATCTAAGTTCAGCATAAAATTTGCTACAACTACTTCTAAATCAATAACAGATTTAATTAATACAAAACAAAATAATAAGCTAAAACTTGAAGGAGGAATTTACACTATCACCTGTAATAATTGCCACAAGGTATACATATGAGAAACATCAAGGAATTTAAATGAAAGATTATATGAACGTAAAAGGGATCTTTTACAATACAATACACTCAATGCATTAGTTGCTCATTGTAATGACTCTGACCATAAATTTGATTTAAAAAATGACTACTCTTAATCAAAAGAGAAAGCAATTTACTAAGACAAAATGTGTAGAAAGTGCTTTAATATTTCACCTTTTTTGGCAGATCTTTTCTTATCATGATATGGGATATTTAATAACAAAAGTGATAGAAACATAAACAAAAAGAAACTAAATGAAATTGGCTAGACTATATACCTAAAATATATTAAAAATAAAATAAAATTTAAAATTCTCAGTGTCCCCTCTCTTTCATGTGCTCGTGTAGTTGCATCAGTGTAAATATTATTTTAGTCTTATGAAGTCCTGAAGGACAAAATGTGTCACATAAAAACATTTCAGGGAGACAGGTGATGATTGATATTGCGTTTAAATTTTTGAAGATTGTAGTTGACAGGAAAACAGGAAATGGGAAAGAGCGTTCCACAAACAACAAGAAGTATGTGAGAAGAAACTATTAGCATAGAACTTACAGTTACAAATAACAATTGCAACAGTAAAATTATGAGACTTAACTGCCAATGTAGAAATTCACTTAAATACATGAAGGTACCAAAGAGGAAATCTCATCAGAATAATTATTAAAGATATTATAGAAAAGTAAAGATATTACAAAAAAGGTACAGGGAAACTAGATTATGGTAATGGGAAAGTGACTAAAGTTGAGATACCAAATCAGGACCAATTATAATATTAATATTTCTTCTTCTTATATATATATTTTTAATAAGTATATATTAATAATGAATATATTATTGTATTATTGTGTAATGTTAAATATAATGTTATTGAATATTTTATGTGCCATCTATTTATATATATATGAAACTGATTTTTCATTTAGAATTATTTCTCTCCTATTTACAGAGGCCTTTCATGCTGTTTACATCTTGTTATTTAACTGATTTAAAACCCAAGTTTTGATAAAGACAGATCATTAATATCTGTCCTGAAATGATTACAGTTTTTATCATCTGTCTACATTTATGAGGTGAGGTATTGTAACTATTTACACTATTTACATTGTTCAGACTATTGTCCTCATATTTATTGTCATATTCACAATGTTTCAGATGTTTTATGCTCTGGCCATCTTCAGGTGATATATGATTTCTAACTAAACCCTTTATTCACAGCAGAGAGGAACAAAAAAACTTGGAGAGTTGAGTTACTAAAGGGGATTAACTGAAAACTGAGATATCCAGAAAAGACATGGCATGTGGAACTAGAACAATCTACCTCATGGACTAAATAAACGATTCTGTTTGAAATTCCAACATATATCACCTGAAGAAGGCCAGAGTATACAATGGCTGAAACATTGTGAATATGACAATAAAGATAAGGACAACAGTCCAAACAATGTAAATAGTGTAAATATAGCTTTTATTATTATCATTCCAAATGATATGATCATTGGAAAACTTAAGGTAACATTTTAAAGCAGAAAAGTATTAAAAATTAAGAAATTTCCTTCTAATATTTTTCCTACTTCAGAATAGGTATACCTGGTCTTTCATCAAAATTATTAGTAATTTAAAGATATTCTCAGTTCTAATGCACAAAATGGTGATTCATAAGTAAGAAATTAAATTTAAAAATCACTAAAAAATCTACACTTTTCAAAAGAACATTGTGATTTACTATTTTTTGTAAAATTATAATTGACAACTGGATGCAATTTTTACTTTTCATTAGCAAATTAATTTTGTCTATTTTCAAATTTTCAAACATCAAAATTGGCATAATATTCTCTAAATGAAGTTGTTAAGACCAAACAGATCCCTTCAAATCAAAATCAAAGAGCTTGTCATTCTTTACATTCTTAATAACTAAAAACAGATATTGCACTTTGATCCTTGCGTTTGTGACACAACATTATTATTAACTATGGAGACCTTCATTTTAAAGCACAATGGAGTTGCTGTTAATGAGTGAGTTCCCTGTAGTCAAGGTAGGTTACTTAGGAACTTTTGCCTGTCACAAAGAGAGAGATAGTTGATGTTGATGTTAATTACTGTAATCAGAGGAAAAGAAGTAATGGGCTGGGAAGGGGATGGAGAGAGGATGACTCTAAAATGACATGTTATTGAATTTATGATGAATTTTCTTACAAATAAACAATGAAAGTAGATAATAAAAAATAAACTACAAAAGCATGGCTTGATATTATATGTTTCTAAAGACTTGATGTATTTTATTTTTTAATTCAACATAATTTTTATTACTTCAAATGTTTGAAGTAATATATATTTAAAGAAATGCATGCAATTTTACTTTCTGTATGCTTATCTGTTTACATATTCAACTGTAATTATAACAGAAACAAAGTCTACAAATTAAAAGTAATAAAGGCAATAATTTAGGTCCTCTGTTTTAAAGGATTTACATTTATAATTAACTAAATTCATATTTTCTCATACAGTTACTTGTCCAACACTTATATTGTTTGTTATAATCAAAATACATAGAAGAACATGTTTGAACATAAATATTCCCGCCACCCAATATAGATTAAACATCTATTAAGACAAATAGACAAAGTTACTCTAACAACTCACCTGAGTGAATTAACTTTGTTTTTTGTCAATATGACTCACTTAGAAATAATGTGTATGCATTTATGAAAAAATATGTGAATGCAGAGGCAGGTATAATTAACATTGGTATTAATGATATTAAATATTAAAAAACCCATCATCAATTAGAAGATGTCCAACACCAAAGTTTGTAAATCTAATGCTTAACCAAAAACAATTTCCAAAACCAAATACCAATGAAAAATAATACACACACAAATATATGGATGTATTTTTCAATTTAAATCTTAAATTTAACTGTCCTATAAGAAAAAAATATATGTATCCTTAATTTTTACTGCCTTTACAGTTTTGTTTCAATATTCTAAACCTGATCTTAAGAAATAAATCTTCAGTTGTGTTGCAAGTAAGGGTTGGATTTGAAAATGTGTATACAAATTAAAAGAAAATGCAAGTTTGAATTACAATTTAAATAATTTTGATAAAATTTAACAAAATTGATAAACTCCAAAATAAAAAAAATGCATAAAGCATGCCTTTATTTTGAATATTATACATATATATATATATATATATATATATATATATATATATATATATATATATTATATTATAAATTGATCATATATAGGTAATTAACGTGCATGTGTAGAGTATCTATGTGTGGGAAGAAAAGGTATTTAGCATTACAGTACGGTACTCAGATATATGCATGAAGGATTAAGGAAAATTATTTAGTATTTGATCAACAAATCTGAGATCATTTATATTTTGTTTTTATATTGGTGACTATTTACATCATCTTCAGATTACACTTCTAGAATTTGATTGACATAGACTAATTACCTCCTCCTCCATATATATATATATATATATATATATATATATATATATATATATATATATATTTTGTGTGTGTGTGTGTGTGTATACACATACAAAGAGAAATATATGGGATAAAATCACTTATGAAAGCATTAAAAAGCTGATAGATACCTTGATTTGGACAATAAAGGTGCAGTCCTATTAACATCGCAGGCTGCAGACATTGGTGAAGATGAGGGCACAGTTCGTGGAAAGATTGGCGGTGGGGGTGGTGGAGGCGGTGGAGGTGGTGGTGGTAGAGGAAGGTCATCTGGGTCACTTTGCATGGACAGGCTGTCTGTGTCCTGCGATGATGAGAAACTGTTTTGAAGTTCATCGATGAGCAATTGTGGGGGTGGGGGAGGTGGCGGAGGAGGCAGTGGAGGTGGTGATGGAGAGGCTCTTATGCCTGTCTCATGGCCGAGACACTTGGTCATTCCAGCAGCCACAGCAGCAACCTCCGAGTCTGTGTTAACAGTGGGTGGGAGTGGTGGGGACTTCTCAGCATTGGCCTCCGACAGTTTCTTGGAACCGACTTGGATAGAAGTTGTGTAGTTGTTGTTGATCTTGCTGATCTGTACTGGGTCCATTTTCTTTGTGAATTTTCGATTGATCTGTATTTTCTCAATTGATGAACGGATGCTGCTATCTCCCTGGCTGGAACAAGAATAGAAGTCTTCAGAACCCTCAACTGGACGGCTGCGACTGTCAGGAGATGTGGCTGTCAACTGGGGTATTTTCTTTTTCTTACCTGGAGAAAAAGTAGAAAGTTCACGGTCCTGCCCTTGGTCCTCTGCAACATTCAAGATGCTAGAGTTCCCAGGTGAAGAGATGCTACTGGAGGTGCTCTTAGTACTAGGGGTTGGGAAACTATCCACTTGAGGTGGTGGTTGGAAGTTAAGGGTGACCGGCGGTGATGGAGGTGTTGATGAAGAGAGAGCACTGGGTGGGGTCTGAGAGGGTAAGATGCGCACAGCAGATGCAGGTAATGTTACTGAGTTAACAGGTAGGCTGGTTCCCGAGCTGATTGAAGCAGATGAAGATTCAGCAGTGTGGTGGGACGAGGGTGAGTTGGAAGATGAGTTGAAACTTACGCACGTTGAGTGACGGTGACTTGGGGGTGGGTCAATGGAACTCTTCCAGTAGGTGCTCACAGCTGGTGGTGGAGGCGGCGGTGGGATGTGTGACTGCTTCAAAGGTTCTGGAAGAAACCAATAACAAAAAGAAAAAGAAAAAGAGAGAGACATTGAAATTGTGTTGACCAATGAATGACTGAGAAGGTAGCCTCAGTGGTACTTTACACAAATGAGATATTAAGAGCAAAACTGTTGCTTAAACAAAACTAGAGAATTATGAATTAGTAATAATCATGACTAATGAATATTAATATTGTATGATACGGCTATTGATTATTATAATTATAAATAAATTATTAATCAATAATTACTGTAATTAAGACTAAATAGTAGGAATAGGATGAAAAGATGATATTTTCATTGAAGTGGCTAAAGTATTATTATTATTATTATTATTATTATTATTATTATTATTATTGAGATACTGCATAGAAAATATGAAAAATGAAAATGTTGTTTAAACAATAAGTAAGAATATCAGAAAAAATTACTTAGATTATTAGAAGAGAATACTTTGAATACTAGAATAGAAATCTGAGATAAGCAGACAAGAATAAAGAACTAAAATAAAATAACCAGGGAATAAAAATGGAACAATCCCAGTTGCATTTTAGTATTGCCTGCATTTTAACCTGATATATTTAGGCAATTTTTGTCTATTCTTCTTGGCAAAACTCCCACAATTGCTCAATTTTACCCAGGTTTCTTGCATGCATGCCTTCTTTCACTTGAATCACAGATTTTCACTTGGGTTTAGATCAGAATTTGATTAGGCCATTCCAAGATTTTAAATTTCTTTTTACAAACCCATTCTTTTGTAGATTTGCTTTAATGTTTCAGATCATTGTCCTGTTGGAAGTTCGAATGCTGACCTAAACCCAACTTTTGAACTGAGAACAAGACACTTTCATTCAAAATTGCAGAGTTCATTGTGCTGTCAATACATACTATTTTGCCTGTTCTAGCTGCAGGAAAGCACCCCCAAATCATAATGCTGTCACCACCATGTTTAATGGTTGGTATCAAATTCTTCTCTTCAGAAGTTGTATTAGGAGCTTACCAGATATACCACCTATTGTCCCTCCCAAAAAAAACTCTAGTTTGGTCTCATTCAACCATAAGAACTTTTGCCAGAATGTTTCTAGTTTATTTATGTGAGCTTTCAGATAGTAAAGGTGAGCAAGTTTGTGCTATTTTGTAAGCAGTGGCTTTTTCTAGACATTCTGTCATGTTGGGAAAATAAAAAAAGCAAGGAGAGCAACTCAAAAATTGTACCCACTAAAAATAACATCTATAGTAATAAGAAGAAAATATATATATATATATATATATATATATATATATATATATATATATATATATATGATATTTTAAATGGACCCAAATACCTTTATTTAGGCCTTATATAGTTTAATCTGATAAATTCTCAGAAAATCTTTCTTGTTATGGTCCATTTTACACATTTACAAATCTACCATTTGCCTGTGCATTAAATAAATACTGCTGGCATATCTAGTCTGGTGCTCCTACTATTCATCTTGAGGTTCTTGATAAAATCCAAAGAAGGATCTGTAATGTAATCAATCCTGATTTGGGATCTTGACTTCAGTCACTTTCTCACCAACATGGCTTGGCTTCTCTCTGTCTTTTCTAGAAATATTTTCATGGCAACTGCTCTGATAAGCTTTTTTCCCTGGTGCCCCAACTACATGAATTTAAGCTTGCTACTAGATTAGCATCTAGATCCCACCCATTTACCGTTGAAATATTTAAATGCAAATGCCACTTCTACTCCAACAATTTCTTTTCTCATACTTCCCACCTGTGGTAATCCCTTCCATTTACTTGCTACCTTGATAAATGCAATCTTCAAAAATTTAGATGAAACATCAATTGCCATCTTGTGTCTTCTTGAATCCCATCCATTTTTTTGTCCTTTTCTCAATCCTCCCAATACTCAGTCCTTTCTCTCACTTTCACTTTCTGTAACCCCTTGCATACTAGTGAAATTCCCGCTCTTCTTGGAGTGAAATAATTTTAAAAAAATGATCTAATTGTAAAAATAACAGTTTCATGCAAATCCTTCCTAAACATGTTAAAGAATACAACAGAAATGTTTTGTTCTTTATTAAACTGAATAATGTTATTATCAGTTATAGAGCAGGTTATATTTATCTATACATTCTTTCTCTTTCCTCCTTTTTATATAAAGGGTGTTCCAATAACTTGGACTAATTTTAAATGTGAATTAAGTTTAAGCATCTAATGATTTTTTCCTTTTTCTTTCAGATTTGGTGGACATTTGGGTGATATTTCTCACGCATAACTTAAATAACATGATCCAATAGAGAAATAAATAAATTTTTGCCAATAACACTGATTTATTTACTGCTGACTTTGATTTGTCTTAATGAAACACCCTTATATATAATTTGACTTAATGAAACACTCTTTATAATTATTTTACCCCACACTTTTGATTCTCTCTGTTAATACTTTGGTGGGGATGTATGCCTTTACATGGATATTAATTACAGTATATTATTTTCATTATTTAAAGTTGGATTAATGTTCTTATTTCTATTGTTATGTTTAATCCAACTTTAAATAAGATAAATAATGATAACTTCTCATCATAGAAATTCAAACAAAAATCAGCATCTTTAATTTTGTTCTTTAGTGTGCAATTTGACACATATACTCTCTAATCTAGGATCCTCTGAGGTGTTTTGAATACAATTCTTTATTTTACCCCTGATGAAGATGGTTTGCTATTTTCATCCCCTGTTTCCTCTTATCAAGTGTCCCTTTGAGAGGTTGAACTCACAACTCTTTTACCAATCATTTATCATATACTTTCTCTAATGGATTATGCTTAAAACTAAATACAAATGCATTTGAGGAAGATCAGAAAGTAAACCAGCTGACACATTGTGATAAAAACAACAAAAAGTAGATATTCATTTGAAAAATAATTGAATTGCTGTTCATTTTTATGCCTTTACTTTGTGGTTACTCTTTTCTGAATTCGGTTTTTAACCTTTACACTACTGATCTGGTCTCTTCTATTCTATCGAAATTATATTATAATATTTTAAGATTTTATTTTTACATTTTGTATTACTTCAAAAGAACTAAGATGATGATGCCAGTCCTTAAAAATACTAACTGATAACTGTTCTTATTAACTTAGTTACTCGTAATTTTTTCAGGTTCTGTGATGAACAAACTTCAGCTTTTGTTTGAATTTCTGTCAGGATGTTGTTGCTTTTATACATTTCAGACCAGTTCGCATCTTTCTGATCTTTATCACAATGTTTCAACTGCTCTGTCCCTTATCATCTATATAATAAATGCAAATGTCAGTGTATCACTGTGTCACACTTTTTCAATTAAAGGGACACAACGCTCTAACTTTCAATAGCTCATGTTACAGAAATTTTGGATTCCCAAGTTTTCATTACTGTGGTTGTTTTTGGCAATCTTTTTACATGATTTTTTTGTGACAGTTATACATATTTAGAATGTGATTTTTATAACTTGGAAATAAATTTGGGGACAACCAAAATTAATTCCAAAACCCAGTGGAAGTCACCCATGAAATAAAAATAATTGTTTGTATGGAAAGTAAAGACCTATGCACATCAAATTGTCTTTAAATAAAGTGGTGGCAGAAGAATTATTGTTGAACTTTTAAAAGGTAATCTTAAATAGTAATGCAATACAGCAATCAATTTTGAGTTCTTCTATAGTTTATCATTGCTTATTGAATATGGGAGCACTATACCTTGCAAAAAGAAATCTCTGCCAAAATAGGAACAGATTGCAATCAAAAGAGCCAAGGCTGCAGTAAGTCCTATGAAAATGAAAACCCAGATCAACCGGCACAGCCAGGAGAGCTTTCAATGGTGACAATATACAATGACTTATGGACTATCAAACTCCTGAACAAGCTGAAGGTGCAATCAAGAGCCCACCACAGGAGCTAGATTAAATGCTGCTTAATAGGGCATCTTTTAAGCTAGTTATAAATATTTTGTTTATATTTTTTTGTTTATTTTTGTTGACTTTCACCAAAGGGTTTCTTATGTAATGCAGTCTTCAGCCATTAAACTGAATTGTAAAAATTTAGAATAAAGAAATTGCTTTGAAGATTTCATTATTTACTGAGGTAATTTTTTTAAAACTTGTATATTGTAAGATCTCCCTTTTAAGATTGGAAATTACCTTACATTCATATAAATAAAGCTGTAGTAAGTTCCAATAAAAATAAAATAAAAATAAAATTAATATATATAAACAAAAAATAGAAAGAATTAAAATTAAAACCCTTATCTCTTTCTTTCTCATTCTCCCTAAACTTCTCTCCATATACTTCTCTCTCAACTAATGAGAAGGCAACCCTCAAATAAAAAGAGGAAGAAGAAAAAACTGAAACTGGATGAAAAACGCTAGGAGGGAGGCATGATACATGAAGTAGTTAAGAGGTGATTTGCTAATGATATTTTCTGCCCTTCTTAGGACTTAGAAAAACACAGTAGATTGATACTTACCTATTTCTAAGATGACTACTACCACTATCATTGTCTAACATGAAACTATCCACTATCAAGCTGAAATGTACTTTCTCCAGACTGCTACCCAGATCCACCTTATAATCGAACATTTTAATACATTGAATATCAAAGAACTCACTCTAAATCAAATATATATTATTATACCTTTCACCACAGTCCTTTTATTTCTGAAGTTCTATACCTTTCACCACAGTCCTTTTATTTCCAAAGTTCTGATAAATAACACAAAGAATCTCTGCCACAGCTCTCCACAAAGTTATTGATATTAAAACTATTTCAGTTGCAATTCTTTACTTCACTATGAAAACAACAAATATTACACTTATAATTTCAAGTTTTTAGCAAATAACAAAGGATGTTATTTTTCCCTTTTCCAATTTATTTCATCTTTTCTATTGTAGTTTCCAAATAAATGATAAATACCTGCAAATGTGTCAAAATAAAATTATTATAAAATAAATAATGACTATCAAAATAACCTAAGGATG